GCTGGAAGAGTGTGCTGGCGAAAGGTGTGTTTAACTCTTTTGTAGAGATGCCTATCTAAACAAGAATCAGGTTCGAGCGGCTGTTGCTCTCTGTCTCGACACATGTTCTGCTGAAGGGCTCGGCGGCCATTTCTGCACGGATTGACCTCGATAATCTAAACGTAAGTGTCATAACTATCTAACTCCAAACTCCCATAATTTACTCATAAATCGCACAGACAATTCTACGTTCTCAACCAACAGCGTACGCCGAACTGCTAAGAAAATGCAAAGCAGGTCGCCATGCATGGGCCCAATCTGCATTAATCCTCCTTCAACGCGAGGCAGACCTCCACGTGCTACGAGTGAGTAAATCCACCTCATCCTAGCCCACGCTGACCACTGTCCAGGAACGCCTGAACCGGCAAGGCGGCCAAATCGTGTCTAAATACTCCAAGATACCAACAGACCGCTTCCTCCTCGTCGTCTCCTCCAAACGCTCGGACCTCCTGCGCGTCTCCTGGCCCGGCCCAGACGGTACCCTAGCCTTAGACTTCCTAACAAAAGCCGCAGGAATCGAGCGTCCCGCGATTTGCGCAGAACTCCTATCAGAATCCGCTTCAGCCTCTCCCTCCTTGCCCGCTACGCAACCGCAACAGAAGCCAACCGCACCAGCGCCAGTACAGCCCCTCCCCATCGCAGCAGCGCACCACCCCGCGTACCTCAAGAAAATCCGGAAGCCTGTCTTCTCCAGCGGGAGGCCTCAGCCAACGAAGCCCGGCCTGAGTCAGGCGGCTGCGAACGAGCTTAAACCCAGTCGGAGGACGGCGATGGCGCTTTCTGAGAGATATGAGGCGGAGGCGAGGACACAGAGGGCGTTGGTGGAGACGCTGGGGAAGATAAAACGCGTGGGGCGTGATCTCGCGGAGCGTGCGCAGGTGCTGGAGCGGAAACGGCTCGCCAAAGCTAGCGGAAAGAGTGTACCACCACCACGGAAACACGAGGTGCTGGGACTTGATCTGTGGGAGCCTGAGGTTTTGGTGCCTGTGGACTTTGAGGTGCGTTTTTCCTAGGATGATTTTGCTTGATTTCGAAGTTGACGTATGGAACAAAAGACGAAACCCACCCCGGAGCTCCTTGCGTCCTTTTTGCTTAACACGGACGAGAGCGAAGGCGGGCTCGAAGCGCGCATCGACGAGATACGGGATACACTCCTCCCAGCATACCCACCACTTCCCGACCTCAACGCACCGAGGCTCCCTCACCCCGACCCAGAACCCAAAGCGGGTTCATCGAGGATCCCGCGCATGGGAATGGCTGCATCCAGCGTGCAGGCGCAGACATCGACCCTAGTGCGCGGGGGCGAGAAGAAGGGGACGAGGAAAGGCAAGGCGGCTGCCCAGAAACAGAAACAAAAGCCAAAGCCCCGCAAATCGATCCGCGTGTCCCTAGCAGCACAAGCCCAGCGGCGCCCCTCGCTCTTCGCCCCTCCGCCCGCCTCCGAGCCCGAGGACGACAACATACACCAAATGATCCACGGCGTGCAGGATGTGTCGACAGAGCTGGACGGCGCTCCCGACGTTTTATACCCAATGTCACCAATCACGAAAACGCCCGGGACGGTAAAGGTCAACCGCATCTTCACCGGGTCCAGGGGTGGGTCGACACTCAGGCGCCCGCCGAAGCAGTCATTCCCTGGTGTGTTTATGGAGCCTGCGGTGCCGCTCCCGTCGCTCGTGGCGGCGTCGGAGTCGTTCGAGGGGATGGGCGGGTGGATGAGTGATGATGATGCGGACGAGGACTTGGGGTTAGGATTGGAAGCTGGGGGAGATGGGGAGGGGGAGGGGTATCAAGGCGATGGGTCTAGTATGACGCTGAAGGATATTTTGTTGAGTGCGGATACGACGGATTTTGCGTTGATGGGTGAAGGTGGGCTCTGTCTGTGTCGCTATTGGTTGACATGCTCACTGGTTCTCATTTGTCTTCGTAGGCGAAGAAGTGGACGAGATTGGGGATGAGTCGTTCAATTGGGAGTAGAGCTGATGGACATCGGCTCTCAATTGTAAGGCTCCATAAATCGACCCTCGGTGTCATTACTGTCAAAGACCAGCTCTTTATGCACTCCTACCTGTCCATATCCGTCTAGTCATACAGTGCGGAGGTTGCACAGACTCGGACTTCGAAAACACGCAGGTGTTATGCCTTGGCCACATCAGTAAACACAACACAAAACCAGAATGCGGCATCAGAGTTGTTCTTATTCTAAACCATGCGAAACCTGCCTGAACGACTAGATGCCGCCTTCCAGTCTGTCTTGGATTTTAACCCCAGAGCACTAAGAGTGCAGAAGCAACCCCTTTGCCCGAAATTAACCCATCCTCTTACATTTTACGATACGCATATCGACAGACGACTGTCATTGAAACGAGTCAAGTCGCTCCCATCGTTTCTCACAAACCTTTCCCAATCCGTCGACATTGCGTTGGCAGAAGCCACCAAAGACGACAATGGCTTGCCTTCTGTCGATAGAGCCTTTCCTACATCTGACCAGTATGCGGTCCTCCTCGATCCCGCCCCAGCCAGAGATGCCAAGGACATTGGTCACATATACCTCATCAGAATTTCGCTTTTCGCCTGTCAACTCGCATCGATGCTCCTCCTACATCCGAATGCCGCCACATGGGCAACAGCTATCTACTTGACTCGAAATGTCACCTCCACACGTCAAAAGTTTTACTCCCTCATTGATGACTATGGGCTAGAAATCTCCGCGCCTTACCAAGATATTCCTGGCAAAACACTTCCAGTGATTGACAAAGATGCCTGGGATGCGTTGAGCGATCTTCAACGGACGTATCTTCGACATATTAGAGAAAAGTTTCCTGTGGTTGCTGTTTGGCAAATGTTTTTTGCCCACCTTGACGCAGAAGACGCGTTGAAAAGTTTAGACCGCCTGGCGGGCATGGACTCATTTCCCGAGATTCTTCCACTCGCCTTGGTTGAGCGATGGCCACCCCAGAATGGACCTCTTTCCCATTCACCGGATGCCGTCAATACTGCCTGGGGAACAACTGTATCGTCTTGGGTTGGAGTGCCCGAAAGCTCAACGAACACAGATATCCATGAACCTCCCGTTACTGCCGCGACACCCCCACCAGGCAGGACCGAAAGATCCAGAGTCGCAGAAGAAGCCACAAGTACCGCACAACAAGATAAGAAGTTGAGTCGAAAGAAGAAAAAAGAGGCACCGGTCCCTTCACGCCTGACCGGAATGGAACAATCGTGGCCCGAAGTCACGATTCTAGCTAGAAAAAGGGACATGAATGTCATTGATGAAGACATGGCCGCCTCTGTAGTGCAACATGTAATCTTTATCTACCATGCCACTTCTTCCATCATTCTAATCATGCTACATCTCTAGGCCTGGACACGAGCTGTCAAAAGTGATTCTTCTTATATCATATTTCATTGCGGAACCTTTGAACGTATCGCATTTCGTCACCGCGCTAGCCAGACGCTCTTCGTCTCTGACCCCATCGACGTCCAACGGTGTAGGGATCCTGCCTACGGCCACATTCAAATCGGCTTGTATATGTCAATTGTTGATGATGTTCGTGATCGAACCGTCCAAATCATCTCACAGGAAGCCAATTCTAAAGCAACGAAACGCAAGCGAGAAGCCCCGATTCCTGAAAGTAACAAGCGCCCAAGGACTAGAGCAACTACTACCTTAGAAGAGGCGCGACGATTGGAGTATCAAAGGAACTTCAAGCTGTGCCCGTAGAGGTCTATCATTTCAAGAGCGCCGTGCTGAGGAAGAATCATTAGGCTGTGTCTGAGTGCCTGCCTAGCCGCACTCTAGCCTTGCTACGGATCCAACATGGTCCGTACAACTCTCCGGCCCCTTCTTCGTTTCTTCGCATCGATGACGGAGAGGCCTCGCATAAGTCCACTTACAGGCCTGGCGAGTATTTCCGCATTACTATCACTTCCGAAATTGCGTATGGCGCAACAGGTGATGCTCACAGAGCCACCATTGACCTACTGGGGCCCGATGGACGAGTTGTGACCTTTCCGGATGCGGTTGTCAAGCTTGCTTTTAACCCTGTTCAGAGGAAGAGGCTGCGTCATGAGTTTGTTATCTATCGTCGCTTGATGTCCACGGGTGCTCGGGGAATCCCCTACGTGTTTGGCTTATTTGAAGACGTCGAAACACAGACACTAGCTCTCGTCATGGAGAATGCCGGCGCAACTGTGTGGGAGTGTCGACTTCCCGATAAAAGCAAGCGACATGAATTAACCATTTCAGAGTTGGAAAAGTGAGTGTCGTCTTCGTTCCTAGGATAATTCTGTCTTACCTATGCTGCTTAACCAGAGCCCAGTTTTTGGACGCTTTGAAATCCATTCACGATGCTGGAGTTCGCCACCGTGATCTCCGGATTGAGAACTTGACTATCAACCACGATGGCGATCCATACATTATAGATTTCGATCGCTCTGCTCTGGATGCTGATGGAGACTCACGGCAGCGTGAGTACGAAATTTTTAAGCAGGTGCTCGAAGGACGATACGAATCGTGCCTCTCTAAAGAGACTGAGGAATCGGAAGTAGAGCCAGACGATCAGTGGGAGTAATTCTCGGATGTTACCTCTATCTAGATCTACTATGCACTTATCTAATCTTATTCGATGAATGGGCAAGCATGGGCCATTCCTCGCTGGTATTTGCCCTCGGCTTTTCGAACCCCCGAATTGGGACAATAATCAACGATGCATATAAATATTATTGGTATCGGGAGAGACACCCTTGGGAAGCACCTGGGCAGTACTAGTATCTTAAGATCCTCTGCAAAGAATGTATACCAAGTGATGACCGGCATGTTAAGATAGGTTATCAAGTTCAAGGATCGGGATCATGGCTTTGTGGTGACTGTACTTTGAAACTTTCCACGTTGTACAAACCATATTTGATACAATGTGTTGCAGAGTGAAGAAAAAAGAGAGAAAAAGATTTCCATAATTAGCCCACCGCGAGGGTCGAACTCGCAGCCTTCAGATGATATTTCGTTGGGTGCACCCTTCGTAAAAGTCTGACGCTCTAGCCGATTGAGCTAGGCGGGCTCGAAATATGGTAGCAAACAGACTTTCAAGATCAGGCCTGAGGTCGTTCAATATTCGCAACGCCTGTAGTCATCCGAAGAAAAAGCAAGGTATCACTTCTTCGCAACATAGTTTCTCAAAGTAGAAATTGATGGGTTAAAAAAGTATCCTCCTCCTCGTGAATTAACAAACCTGTCCGGGAATATCATCACACGTTGCTCGTCGGCAGGGTTGGTCCCAGTCATGAAACGCAAGACGCCCTTGTCCTCGTCTGTTTGTCCAACAATAGGATCCATGCCCGGTGTGATATCTTTGCCAGACGGGAACATAGAATCATTGCACTGCACTGAAACAATTGATGAGTGCAAAATTACATTATGAAAAACCATACGCATACCGCACTGGTGATATTTAAACCCACGGACAATGCTGCTTGCGTAGCAGACAAAGTGTGTGCCACGGAAGTCGTTTGTGGTATTGCCTTTGCGCTCATTCCTCGTAACTTCAGAACCAAACGATATACCCTGCCTTCTTATCTCATGACTGCTGAATAACGTGAATGCCACATCAGCAGGTTGTGGCGGGAGTGAGAACACGCAACTCACAAATCCTCGATGGTATCGGAGTCGTTACGAGGATTGGACTTTCTCATGTGGGCCGCATACGGGCAGCGACGTTGGTGAATCGACAAATCGAAGGTAAAGTTGTTGATCCTCTTCTCGCTGGATGAGATCGATGGATCAGGTTTATCAGGAGAGAGTTCCGTCGGAGTGCCTTGCATATACGATGAGCCACTGTGTAAGTAATGCACAGTGTCCTCTTACCGTCCTTCCACCTTCCGAACAGCCGTGCACCCAACTTATCAGCTGCAGTTTGGGCAGGAAGGTCAGGACAAACCTTGGGCCCATGGTCGAGCAGAAAGGCGTCGAACTCAGGGGCCAAAATGTTTAGGTGGCGGGTCACCATAAAGGTGCCGTCCTTCGCCCAGTCCGGGCGGCTATACTTGTCTTCGTCCCCATCATAACCCATCACAATAGTGCCCATAGGAATGATCGAGGAGCCAGGGTAGCGAATCTCGGGTTGTGCTGCGGTTTCGAAGGTAGCACCCCGAATTTGAGGATTGGACATCCCGCCTCTGTACCCAAAGTGATTACTTTGATCGTGAGGTGTTGGCCGTAATTTGCACTTGACTAGAACAGTCATCTCAATCGAGTCTTTGAATGCCGCCTCCAAGTCCTTCACGAATTTATCGGCGATCGCCTCAGTGAATGCTGTGATAAGGAAGACGCCATCAAGAGCATACATGAAGCCCTTGTCCCAGTCAGGCGTCCAGCGGTAACCACTACCTGTACCAGGGTCGCCAAGGTACTGGGAGTCACGGAACTGACCGGATAAGAATGACTCGTCTGGGATTTGCCACTCGCTGAGACCAACGAATACCAGGGAGCCAGAGGTAAACCCGACGTTGACACCAAGGAAATCACTGGGTGGCGGTTTAACTTGACTAGTAAGTTGGAGAGCGCTTGTGATCTTTGGCATCATGAAACTCCCAAAAGCTTTCCGAAATCGTTCGTTCTCAATTGTGAAATAGTAAAAGTACTCCACAGTCTTGGGAAGACCAGGTCTACACATAGAAGGTCAGATAGTATAAGCACATGCAATATATGGAAGACTACATGATGTCGCCTTGGATATTTTCCAGTTGATAGCTTGTCCCCGCGCCTGCGCCTTCCCTTCGCGTGCAAATGACTGTGACAGTTCTAGAATTAGATATCAGTGTGTGTTGTCTGATTGTTGAGGCATGCTTACAGATCGTCAAACTGAGGGTTTTCATCGCTGGATGGGATGTCCTGGACCGCGATCTATTGTGATTTAACGTCAAGGTCCAATGAAGACTTGCCTGGACAGGCATACGAACAATGAATGTGATAGAGTCTGTAGGTTCCTCATGCGTGCATGAGACCTGCACACCCCAAAGTTAGAAGAAGCAGAATTACAAAGAACGAAGACCTACAGTAGTTACTTCAACCCCAGTACTGCTATACTGGTCATCGTGCAGTGCCTCGCCAGCGACTTCCTGGTTAGCAGAATGATATGCTACGAGCGTCACTTCCGATGCGACGTCCTGTGGACGGAGCTTCAACTGCGAAGCTGTGCCATTGGAGAGGTCAACCATGGGGACATATGGCGTCTCCCACTTGTTGGCGAGAAGCGACGTCCTCAAGGTACGACCATCCTGCCACTGGCACGCGATCAGCTGATTGTGATATTGACGGGTGACCTTCTTGGATGGGTACGGTGTGAGTGTAGGAACGTCTCGTAGTAACTTGGATGCTTACGGCTGTCACGAATGTTGTATAACCCGGTGGGGCCAGGATTTGACGGTCGGGCCTTCAGAACTTGTTAGTGTTGGAAGAGACATGGATGGCGATATCTGTTCTGTTGTTCTTCCACGTTTCGCATATAGCTCATATATATGTGAGCTTTGACAGGTTGCTCGAGGTCTTATCGTTGATATTTGTAAGGATCAGAGAAACCGCCAGTGGCAGAACTTGCAAACTTTTGGTGATGTCATGTAGATTGTACAAGTTCCTAGATGTTCCTGGCAAGCCTCTCATCCAGATCCCGAGCCCCGTTTCCTGATGCGTCAGCGTTAGCACCTGTTATTGAAAAGCCGAACATGCAGACGTTCGACCTGGCGTTATACCATCCCCGTTGCGCTTTATAACCTGCGTTAGGGGGTCATGAAATCGAAGAAGCTCCTTGATCTTTTGCAGTCTTGTCGTTGGTGTTCGTAAGGGTCAGAGGATCAGAGGATCTGCCAATATCAGAAACATAAAGATAGCGCAAGTTCCTCGCCTAAGTCTCTATCCTTCCATTCCTGGTGTCATACATCCGTCAATTGAGAGTGTCAGAAGGATGAAGAGTTTAACATCACCTGTTCATGTTTTCGGAGAGTTGAATATGCGGACGTTGGACCCGGCATCATATCACCCCCGTTGCACTCCTTACGCGGTCGACGTCTCGGACCACGGTACCCCACTTGCGAAATGTTGAGCACCTCAGTACCGGTTTGAACGGGTAAAGCTTGTCTCTGGCACGGGATTCGTTGGGAGGGCCCTCAGGTGTACACGAAGACTCGTGGAAGAGGTGCCTGGTGCCCAAAGAACGGCCGAAAATCAGACATTTCTAGGAATCGGTCGTAGGCCTTGGCCTATCGTCCATGCATGAATTGATTTATAAATACGTATCTGGTGCGTGTACAGTATGGGCTCACTAGTCAGTCAGTCAGCAGGTGGATATTCGGAATGCGAGATGACGCTCTTACCTTCACATATCCTCTCCACGTTAGCTCCCAGATCCTTCTCCAACAGCACTCGATCCGGCCTGTACGTTCTCCTTCCCATCTGCCGCTCCAGTCTTTCCTTTCCCTCCTACCTTCCTCTCCACCGCTTTCCGGTCGTCTCCTCTGCATCCGCATCCACATCTTCCACAGACAACACAGGCGGCACATACACCGCAATGCCTCCACTGAGGTTCTCCCAAGGTCGCATTGGGTTCACCAGTGCCTTTCCCTTTCCCTTCCCACTCCGATCGAGCAAATGTGCGTCAGGTCGCGGCTCGCGAGTTGGCTGAGGGGATTCTGGCCGCGATCCCTGGGGCGAGGGAGCAGCAGAGACTTTGGGCTTGAACATTGTAGTTGCGAGGATCATCTTTTTGGTCTTTGAATTGAGTGGGCACTTTGTGCGTTTGGGGCTATGATGGTGCCGGGGGGCGTGGAAAGGGTGGTTGGGAGTGCAATGGAGTGTGCCATGTGGAGGAGGGCGTAGGGAGAGGGCTGGGAATGCACCTGCAGCTGCGCGTCGTGCCTCCTTGAGTGTGGTATCTGCGATTTCTGTCTCGATGTGTGCGATTATGTTGCTGTGTTGTGTCGGAGTGATGAGGCGTTCTTGATAGGAAGGACATATGTGTGCTAGTGCCGCGAGATTGCAGTGATAGGGCGCAAGAGGTGCATATGGGGACATATGGTGAAACAGGAGGAGTACACGTTGCGCAGAATCTTTTAAGAGTGCTCTGTGATAGGCCATAGCTGCGCTCCTATTGGTTCTGGTGCTGGACTCGTATGGGAGTCTTGTAAGGAGGTACGAAGCGCGTGCAGAGTAAGCAAGGCCTTGTTTTGTGGTAGCGCAGGCTCCTGAGGTGTCTGAGGAGCCTTCATATTTTGTGAACGGGTAAGGCTTTTGGTCGCGGTTTATGGCGTTGCCTGAACAATGTGAACGAGCTTGTCGAGGAAACGGTACTACCTGGCGTTCCACGAACTAATTAAAAGCAGGCTTTTCATATATTGATCCTTGCGTTCCCCGCGCGGAAGTTCACTTGTGATTTCGTATTTGATACAGGTACATCATAATTTCACTAGCCAGCCAGTCAGCGGATGAATACTCTGGACGTCAAGACGAGGGTCTTACTTTCGACCAAGTTTCCTCCCTGCGCTACATCCCGGATCCTTCCCCGATTTCACTCGATCTACCTGCACACCGTCCCTTAAACCTAGCATCACAGGATCACATCTTAGCCACATAATCTCTCAAGGTAGAAATCGACGGGTTGAAAAAGTACCCCCCCCCTCGCGGAACAACAAACTTTTGCGGGAATATCATCACACGCTCCTCATCGAAAGGGTTCGTTCCAGTCATGAAACGCACGATGCCCTTTTTCTCGTCTGTTTGTCCAACGATGGGGTCCATGCCTGGCGTAACAACCTTGCCAGGGGGGAACATTGAATCATTGGATTGTGCTAAACATATTCATGAGAATAAGACTGTACCGGTAAAACCACAACACATACCACACTGGTGATATTTGAACCCACGGACAATGCTGCTCGAATAGCAGACGAAGTGTGTGCCACGGCCAACGACGGTTGTCTTGGCCTCGCGCTCATCATTAGTCAATGCCAGACCGAACGATTTGCCCTGTCTTCTTATGGAGTGGCCGCTGAATTCACATCAACAGTATCC